TGGGATTAATTTTAGACTGATTTTTGACAGCCATTTAGAATCTATTGCAAATTAAATGGCTCGCGCACTACAGAGAAACAGCTTGATGTTAAGCCTTCTTTTAAAAAATTAACTAACGATAACGTCTTTTATGGAAACAACTGGTTATACCATGGTAAATAAGGATAAAAAAGTGAATGGAAGTTATGAAAGTCACGTTGGCAAACCAAAGTATAAAAATAAAAGTAGACCAGTAATTCAGCACTAGTTTCTGTGTCCTTCTTTAAATATGCTGCAAACCTGATTACGATTGCTAAATTCACTGTTTGATTAGATTGTTTTCATGGGCCATTAGTCTGGTCGCGGATTTTTACTGTAGCATTTTTACAGTTAAACTTCACTGAAGACTTCTTTTTTACAGTGTAGAGAATCTTGCAAACTTTTCCTGGCAAGAAAAGAGACAGTCAAACGCATGCATTTCATTGCTGGATGCATCGGGGATTGTGTCGCAGCGGTTATTGAATTAAACTTTGCTCTCCGTGTTATTGAATTCAACATGTCTTCCTCTCTCTCTTCTCTCTCTCCCCTTAATAAACTCAGTGACCCAGTTGCTCTGGTCTGATTACTAATGCATATTTCCTCTGTCTTTTTATTTCCGTCCCCTGTCTGCACTTTTCTTCCAGTGTCGTACTCTAGTATTCTCTCTGTACACGTCTGAGCTTTTGCAGTCTGCTGTGTGGGAGATTATGCTTCCAATAGTGGTTATAGAGGTATTATTATCATTAATCAAATGTTTCAGTGATGATTTGAAATTTTGACGACAATAAATAATTGTTGGCGTGGGTTTCCTCTGGGTGCTCTGGTTTCCCCCAGAGTCCAAAGACATGTGATATAGGTGAATTGAATGAACGAAGGGGGCTTTCACACCTGCCTTATTTAGTTTGGTTGAACCTAGATTAGAGTTTTTTTCCCTCTTGGTGAGGTTCGTTTGGACAGGTGTGAATGTAGCGATCGCACTTCAGTGCACACCAAAAGCAGACCAAAAAAGCTTATCGAGATCTACTTGAAGAGGTGGTCGCGGTATGCTTTTAAACTAACCCTGGAGTGGTCCGTTTATGGTAAGAACATAATCCAAACTAAAACAGACCCAACCGCAAAAAGTACTGCACCTTTTTGGACTAATCCAGGGGGAGGGGAAAACATTACCTGATGGATCAATGGTGATATTTCCGGAAGATGACCATGTCGCAGTTTAGCTAAATTAATTCACGCCTCCTGAAGTGACCTGCAATGCGTCTTTGCCGTTTGCACTGCCTTAAAACCAGGGTCACCAATCTCGCTTCTGGAGGTCCGGTGCCCTGCATGGTTTAGCTCCAACTTGCCTTAACAAACCTGCCTGGGTGTTTAAAATATACCTAAGGTACCTTGATTAGCTGGTACAGGTGTGTTTGATTAGGGTTGGAGCTAAAATCTGCAGGACACCGGACCTCCAGGAACAAGTTTGGGTGATCTCTCCATTAAAACATTGTTTTTCAGCTGCAGCCGCGCTTCATTTTCAAAACGTATAGTTTGTCTAAAGTGATGTAAACAAACTATACAGTTTACTATGAGCAGGGATACAATCAGCCAGCGCAGATGTAGCTCTATAGTCAAAAGCGACAGGTTGTGTCTGCTGGTTTGTTTACTTGCAGGAGCTCCATTGGCAGTTTCCCGCACATGAATTCGGACCAATTGAAAAGCAGTTTAGGTAACACATTCAATAACATCTGGCCAATGAGCGATGTGGATTTTGTCAGATGACTGCATTTTGGTTCTTTTCAACTGGTTCGGACCAAAGCAATCAGTGAGGTGTGAAAAGAACCCAAAGACGGCAGAAAATGCAACAATGTATCATTTATTACCCTTAAACCGGACCAAATGAACCGAACCACAAATGTAAAAGCACACAAAATTGGGAGTAGTGTAAGGGTGTGTGTGCGTGCGCGTCGTGTGTGTGTGTGTATGAATGTGAGCATGGGTGTTTCTCAGTACTGCATTTGCTTGTGTAAAATATATTGGTGGTTCATTTCGCTGAGGTGATCCCTGATAAACAATTGACTAAGCCAAAAGAAAATGAATGAATGACTTAAAGTTGACATATTGACATATACAGTAACAATAAACATGTTATGGAACAATATGGACAAGTACAATTTGGACAAAACCAATCACTTGTGCCAACAATAGGGGTTGAAAGAGTGCAATTATGATTCATTAATGTTTCCTTGATCTGAAATTTCAAGAAAAAAAAAAATAATATAAATGCTCTTATTTATGGCCATGAATTAAACTTAATGCCTTTATAATGTAGTAAAAAATATGCTTTAGTATATACTATATAGTATAAAAAATATATTTATATATATTAATAAATATATGCAAAATTACGGTCAAGTATGACAAGGTGGCTCAGTGGTTAGCACTGTCGCTACACAGTAAGAAAGTTGCTGGTTTGAGTTCTGGCTAAGTAAGTTGGCATTTCTGTGTGGAGTTTGCATGTTCTCCCCATGTTGGTGTGGGTTTCCTCCAGGTAGTCCAGTTTTCCCCACAGTCCAAAG